GTTCTCCAAACAGAGTCAAAATATTTTTCCAAAATAAATGATTGGAATACTTAACTTTCTAAAGATGTCTTGTTGTTAAAACATTATTTTGCTCTAAAATATTTTGTAAATGAAGAAAATCGATACTCACAGTGATATACATATATCGATATTTAATTTTTTTAGCAGTTAGAAGAATATATTTCAATGTTTAATGCAATTTCGGTATTTAAGAATAACTAATCTGTGTAAATCTCGAATTTACTCAGAATTTATTTCGAAGTTAATTTTAAAGTAAACATTGTAAATATGCAACCTTTGTCTCTAGAAGGTTAAGAATTTAAACGAATCAAATTATCTTCGATTTAACGGTTCACCATTCATTTTAGAAACACGATCGATATCTTGAATAAGTTGCAAGTAGAACGAAGCAGTCAAATAAACCAATGAGAAAATGTAATCTGAATGCAACGCAGCTTTTTTTTGTAGTTGTCAATTCTACATCGGCCTGTAAGATCGTAACGTATCTCACGAACTGCTTTATCCGATAGAGATGATGCGATGTACTGAATTCGTGATTGGCAATAAGTGGTCCGTGAACTCTGCGTAGGTTTGTTTTTTCCAAAATAGGTACACTGCAGCTTGTTGAAAAAAAGCCCCCAGCCACAAAAAGCGATATATTTTTCGCGGGAATTCAACAAAGTTTTCTGCGTGATTACACGAACATGCGGATCGCTATTAAAATGTTTTGAAGAGGATAAAACAAGCTTTCTGTGGCGTTGTCCCAAAACATATTTTTTTCTTGTTCACACATCGATTTTTTCACGCATGGATTTTGTGAATAATTTGTAAAATCTATGTACTACATAATATTATCCTAAAAAATATATATAAGATATTAATTATATTGAATATATTTAATATATATTAAATATTATATAAAGAACATGTACATTGTTCACAGAAATTAATTTTTTTTTCGCAAATTTTTTTCCTTCGAATATTCCGCTCATAAAAATATCCAGGCGTTGAGAATGAAATTGGCATCCAAAAAAAAAAAAAATCTAGGTGCCTCTGCACGATTATCCGACCATCTATTTCAATATTACTGTCCGACGTAGCATTCGCAAATAAAGCGGGCGAGAATGCTAGTGGAAGAGGTCTGAAATACGACCGTCTTTAGAGAACGGAAATGTTCAGTGTACTCGCGACTGCGGGTCTCTGTGTGAAATGGCTTTCTAGCGGCCACCAACGTAAAAGCCAGTCAGCCCAGCTTTGGAGAACAACTGCAGCTGCCGCGAAAAAGCAAATGCAGCTGCAGTGCGCAGCTCTTCCTACTTTCAACATATCATAGCTATTTCTTCTCTCTCTTCCTCTTCCTTTATCGCTTTTCACATTTAGCAAACATTTCCCTAATCAAACTCAACTTATTTACAAACCGCTTATTAATATTGCAAATAAACAAGTACCTAATCGCAAATAAAACATTTAATTGTACTAGTTTACGCAAAAAAATATTTTGCTGCTCCAGCTAGAATTATAGCTGTTTTTTTATATCTGATAGAAAATTATGTATTATACTCATAGAATTTATAGCACAAATCTAAATTCTATCTCTGTTATTTATATGATTAAATAAAATACACATATCCAATATCGCAGTACTTGCAGTAATTTATCTATTTTAGCTATTTTTTGTATTGTTTAGATAATTTTCGCTATAACTGCAAGATCATTTTTGGATGCTGAAAATATAATGTCGCAAGTAAAATTTTAGCACAGAATTAAATCTGTGAATAATAGCACAAATTTTAGTCAGATTTTCAAAACAATGGAAGTTTAATGTGCCAAAAATTATTTTTTTTGCAATGTTTGATTTTTTTTGTAAAAATAATTAATGCTTATCATAAATTTCTAATTATTATCTTAGAATCTTTATATTATATAAAACGACTATAAAAAGATATTGAAATAAAAAGAATGTATTTTATAAGAAATGAACTATATTACTGTAACATTTAACTATATTACTGACTTTTAATTAGCATTTTAAGATAATGTTAATTTTTTTTTTAAATATTGCAAAAAAGCCATTTCTGCCATATTAAAACTCAATTATTTTGGAAATCTAATATGTGAAATTTGGTTTATTTTTAGCATCTAAAAGTCTATAAGAAATACTTTATCTGATTCAAAGTAATTTTTTATTATAAATTGATGTTATCTATCTATTAATCTAATCTCGCGATAAACTTCTGTAATAAATTATGAATTAATAAAACAATACTCTTTACGCACTATTTAACTCAAGAATCGATTTAACTTGAAAAAAAAATGTAAATTGTTATAAAACTCTTTAATATGGATATAATTTAACATCATTTCTTTCTTTATAATAACTATTCTTTACCGGCCTTTAAATATGCAATTCCATTGAAAATCCATAATAAAAACATGTTATATTAATTAAAATCTTTATTTTTCAAAAATACTATCATTATAAATCTCATACATGCTTATTCCGTTCAATATTTGTTATTATTTATTTTTTTCACAAAATTGTGATTAAATTCGTATCCATACTGTCTCAGATAGATACTAATAAATTGAAGAACAATCAATAAGATATAATAATATTAATAATAGTAATTTTATTATAATTGAGATGTAAAAATAACCCATCGTTAAAAAAAATCAGATGACTGCTTCTAGATTAAGAATATATAGATATAAACTATCATAGTTTAACAAAAGTTTGTTAGTTTCGACAAATGACTGACGAAGCGCGAATCCAAAAGAATTACAACGTGACACGTTTAACAGAATCCTGCTTGACATCGTAGAGTAAGTAATTCGAGACATACAATGGCAGTATTCTCCGTACGTGGGTGTATTCTTATTGCTCAGAGGGATGATTCAGGCAGGGATAAACGCGGTGGAAGAACGCGAGAGACGGTTGTTGACATAGTTGACGAAACGAGACGCGAGGTGCATTATCAAGCATCGAGATACGCGTTCGTGCCCTTTCCGTATACGCAGCTTCGTTCGAGCACGCACAAATGGGCTTTTACCCTTAGCAAAGTGCAAAGCGAATGCATATTGACTCGCGACGTTTCTGCAGACCGGATTTAGTATGAGGTGCTTGCGTGTACGCTACAGAATTGAGCACCGCATCGGAAACGAATTTCTCTTACTTGTCGCTGTGTTGTTAAGATGCATATATGCGTTAATTGTCGCTGCAAATTCCCTTGGGTGTTTAAGCGAATCTCAGGGAGGGAACGATAATCAACTGTTAAGTGCAGATAGTCAATAAGTCTCCTATAATTTTGTTTGCATATAATTGTTGTATTTGAATTTCAGATCTAGTTGAAAGATGTTTGATCGCAAAAAGAACAAAGTTGCTAAATAATAGTAATAATATGATAACGTAATCATTGTAATACATATTTAATTTCTAATTAAGTTCTCTTTGAACCTTGGATAGGTATTTTTAAAAAGAATTTTTTTTTAATTTCGCAGATTTTACTTTTTGATATTTTTTCAAAAGCTATGAATAAATCTTATTTCTTTACGAAGTAATTTTTAGGAAAATTTTAAAATTCTTTTTCGGCAGTATTTAACTTAAAATAATTGAAATTTTTTGCTGTTTAGAAAAGTTTTTAGAAAATGTATTAGGAAGTCATAGGAAGAATTAAGGAAGTGTGACCTTCTTAATGCAAAATTATTGAATCAAGATTAATTGATTTTTGTTTGAGAAACGAAAAGTGGAAATATGTGATTCGTTTGAAAACAGCGATAAGGATTCTTCGGTAAAGTGGAAAATGATTTATATGCATGCAAGGTTAACGTGGCGTAAAGAGAGTTCCGTGCTTGTTATGCAAGCTGAGCTACGTTAAGAGCGGGTTTTATTAAAAATACCCAAGCTAAAGATAGCAAAGGGGTTGAAAATTTTTCTTTTTTCCCTTTCTTTTCTCCGGTTGCTCTTTCATTTCTGTCCGGAAACGCGCTAATCCGAACCGGTGATGATGGTAAATGAAAGAAGAAACACTCGACGAGACTTTGAAATCAACATAAAGATATACAATCGACATAATGCAAAAAATACAGAAAACAGAATAACTCATTTCATTTATAACGACATCGATTATTTATTATTGTTGACAATATAAATATTATATATCGTTTTTATGCTGCATACATTAATTCGAAAATAAATTTCTTCAATTCTGCGATAGTCAAATAGAATTTTAATAATAATAGATTAAACGTTAAAAATTAAAGTAAAATTAATTGATATACTTTAAATTTTAATACAGCTATTTTTTAATAAAAATAAAAGTGAATAAAATAAAAACAAAAATGAATTAATAGAAATTAAGATATTTCCAATTAAATTACTGCCTATAGATAGTTTTTAAATTAAGCTGAGATTGTTTCAATCAACCCGTACATTTCACCCCTTCTTTTCTTATACTTTTCATTCATTTATTCGAAAATTGTATCATGTGTCCACTTTTTCTTCGCGCTACATCGTGCTCTGACATCGGTGCTATTACGAAGCGTCTCAGTGCCGGCGGGAAAGTGAGCCGCCAAAGAACCACGCGACAGCTCTTCACTCGGCTTGCTTGGGGTTTTTAATTTGTCGTGCAATAGCCTAGTGTACAGCACCGGCTCGTGAAACTCGAGTTTTTTGCAGAACGTAGAGTCGTGAAAAAAGCAGACATGCGCTGCAGATACGCGAAAGAAATCTCAAAATGAGCACTATACCGCGCGTGTGTCGCGTACGAAAGAAAATCATTGCTTCTTTCGAGTGCCTGCTTAAAGGATATTCTCAGTCTATTTTCCTCGTACGGTATTCATTTCCTCATGTATGTAATTAAACATCACGTGTATACGGCATTTTTGTATAGCGTTTTTGTATAATGAGTTTGAGTGCAATTAAGTGCAACATTGATAAAATGAAATAAATAATAAAATGCATGTTTTGTACGCATTACCGAAAGGATATATTTCTGGATGCTTGTTGGAGATAGGAAACTTATATAACTAGCCGTAGGGACGTTTCCTTGCGTGTGGTTTGGAAGTCTGATATTGTCGGACAGTCGAGCACTTACTTGTACGGAAGAAGCACCGCCGTGAAGTTGATGGCAATGGAGATTCGCGGGCCAGAAGTGATCAGGTACCGGCAGCGGATGTTTGGTGGATACAGTCCAGGATATCCGGGACTGGCTAAAACGCATCCGTCGTGGCAATCCGTATCTTCGTACACCGAGTCGCATTCTGCAAACAAAAAGAAAGGTACATCAGTAACTTGAAACTCTTGTTTGCTTTCTTTCTCTACCAATTCTACGCACAATATATGTATGTATACATATATCCTCTTCAATAATTCAAGAAAATACATGAAAGAGATTTCATCATGTTTTCCTCCAATTATCGAAAACATCATTAAATAAAAACATCAGAAAATAAATGTATTTCATAAAATCAATTTTTAATATTAGTTAGAGGTATTTTAAAATTAATTCTCTTATATATTAAAATACAGAGTGTATATAAATATTTTGCTTATGCTGCTGGTAAAATGTTTTCTGCAAGCTCATTAAGGTGCAGGTAATCGTTATCAATTAAAGCGACGGTCCACCTCAATTTCCGGCTGTCCGACGGATGAACTTCGTCGAGCGCGAACGATTTGTCAAAAGAGCGAAAATAATTGATACGTCTGGCGGCTTCGTAAAAAATTCGAAAAGTGGAAAATGGGCGGACGCGTCAACGACAACACGCACAGGCCAATTAGAACGAGCTAACGAGATATCTCGTATCTGGCTCGCATGATTTTCAATTAATATTTTTGTGACTCATCTCGAAATATTGCCAACTATACTGAAATATTGCCCATATATTATAGATTATTATTCACTATATAACAATACCAAATGCAATATCAATTTAGTTACAGCCCACGAGTTTGCAGTATGTAAATAACTTGCATTTCCATTTCGGTGATAATTACTACATATGCGACATAATATAAATTAAATTAATGCTTAACAAATACAGTAACGCTAAGTAACAGAAGAATTGATAATTTGAAATGTAAATTTAATAATGCGAATCCTTAAAAGTATCAAACACATGAGTTTAATCGAATTTACTTTTAGAGATATTTTTAGTAAATCAAATATATCTCATATAAACATTAATAATAATAAATTAAACGCAACCTCGACATTTAATATATTGACGATTTATACAATTCGTCATAAGTTGTGATACCCATCATTAGTTAATATTCACATTATGCGAAAATATTGAAGTTCAAAGCTTTTCGAATAGGCAAATCAATGCGTCCATGACGATTGTTGTAATATTCAAACGATGATTGACAAACCGTTACGCGTCCAATTATTCTACTTTCATAACGTATGCAAACACGTGATTTCCATAAACGCTTAATAGACTCGTATTCATTACTGTCAGCTGCACGTGAATACGAAAAAGGTATTAATATCACTTTAATATCACAGCGACACATGAGGTTAGTTTAATGGTACAATTTTTTTATATTGTATTTCCACTGTTAAACAAAAGACCACAAAGGGTTTTGACGTGTTGTTGCGTACAACGATTTCTATTTGCATCTCTGCGCCATCTGCATGTTAAGGTATAGTTTCGCCGTCATTTCTCTTTCAACAAAAAAAGAGAAGAAATGACGAGCAGCTTGATTTTCTACCGACCTCTTCTTTGCTTAGCTTTATAGTTCCGGCGTATGCAATTGTCATAATGGGCGGATCCATTAGATGTGGTACGCGTCCACCTTCGGGCACACGGTTTTTTTCAATTTATATAATGCCCTTTGCATCTCTATAGCTTCGATCCTCCTGTGCAAACCATTTCTACCGTAAAACGGTCCCGCCTTTTTCGCTTTTTTACCTTAAAACATGGAATTTTCTTCGTCCTTCATTTCTTCGTATCCTCGAGGAGTTCCTCGAGTTCGTCTGAAATGTGCCATTTTTTTGCACCATCGCAATTGAACCGCTTACGATCGATTAAACAGGCCGTCGATGAAAAAGCGCAACGACGCTGCACAAGTCGCTAATTATTTGATAACAAGCGCAAGAAAGTTAGTACTAATTTCTTAGGTACGATGTGATCAATTGGATGATAATTGAACGATATAGTTAATGGGCATCAATTGTTTGGCTTTTAAAAAACTCTCGAGTTCGTTAATTGTACGTGTAATTGAAAGAGTATCGAGTTTTATTAACCAAGCGTTAGTTTGCTCGGAAAGTTGCCTCGTTAGCGCGGACACAGCTCAAACAGATACACCGGTAACTGCACTAATGACATCAAAGGAAAAGTTTCACGACATTCACTCTACTGCATGATATAAATATAACTACGATAACCCGTAGGTATTATTCGTTGACCTCATCTTTCTCATCTTTCGTATAACAGCGAATATTAACAAAAGAAGATGTTTCACACAATTTAACAGGCAGAAAAAGTAAAGTTTAATGTAAAGTTAAAAAATAGCACTTAAAAAATAGCACTATTCATTCAATAAATATTAATTAATAGTAACATAATTGTTAATTGTAATTTTGCACTCAATAATATAATTGTAATATAACACATGCGACATATCACGTTATATTGTTAGTTATAATTTCCCATTTAACAATCTAACTGTTACATATCACATGTGGTTATATTACAATTATATTCTTGAGTGGGAAATTGTAACTAATAGCGAATTCGATTGAGTGCACTGAATGTGCACTGGTGTACATTAAAGCCGTCGTACACAAATTGACATAAAAATGTGTGTTTAATATAAAAACAGATTATACCATGAAATCCTTAATACATTTTATTGTGCTGAATTAGTCACTATGATTACATTGAATCATGACGATATAAGCGAGAAATGACACGTTGAAGTTTCTTGCATGCTATTTATAAATAAAGAGAGAGAATTTTTTTTTTATTTAAAACAAAATAATGAAATCGCTTTAAAACACTTGTAAAAATAAAAAAAAGCCCTTATCTTTCCTAACAATCAGTAAATAGTCGTAAAGACACATAAAGTGAAAAAAGGTACTACATGAGCATTAAGTAAACGCTAGTAAATGAACTTTACGTGTCTTTTATAACTATTTACTGACTGTCAGGAGGCAAAGGGGGAAGCTTTTTCCGTTTTTTTTTACAAGTGTAAAGCAAGTGTTTTAGAGCGATCTCATTAAGTTTGTTCTTTTCTGCACTCACTGAACTGGTGCACACGGTGCAATAATTTGAAGCGAAACAAATGTGTATTTGTTACGCTTCGACTTATTGCACCGTGTGCACCAGTTTAGAGAATGCAGGAATAAAGAATAAACTCATTATTTTATTTGTCAAATGTTCTCTCTCTCTCTCTCTCTCTATTTATACAAATGGCACGCAAAAAATTCTATTTCTCGCTTATGACAATTCGATATGGCTGCAACGATTAGCTTTAAGTAAAGTTTGTTTAAAGTTAGTAATATTAAGTAAAGTTTGTAATATAAATTTTATAATTTTAAAATATTTATATTTTACTTATACACAGATTAAATCAGTGTACAACGGCTTTAATGCACATTGCGCAATAGTGTGTCCAAATTCGCTATAACAATATCCGTAGAATACAGAGTTTGGAAATTTGAACCAAAGCCCTTCAAAATATAAATGTATGTATGTATGTGCGCTACACTTTAATTGGTACCACTATTTTGAAGGGCGTAAGAATTTAGAATATGTACCAATCAAAAGATGTCTACGAGTTATCCAGATTATCTGTAGATTATAGACACTATAATAATTAACAGTTATATTAGTGTTTACTGATAGTACGTTATTTTGTAACAAGAATCCCTAACAATGTAAGAAAAATACATAACTATATACTTTTGCACGATTACACGTCAATGTGAATGTCGTCAGCTGATTTTTCGTAAAGCAGGCACAGTTGTCGTGCATCTGCTGAGAAAATCACTTCCCGTTTGCGCAATGAAATGCTTTAATACAGTGATAAAAAGGAGGAGAGAGAAAGTGAAGACTCTATGTAAATGCTTACAGAAGACGCGCGAGGACTTTCCTTCGCGACGGTAAAGAACCCAAGGCGGAAATGCTGCGAGGAAAAGAAAAGGAAGGAGCAGAGGATGTTCCCTTCTCCCGCACAGTACCCGCGCGAGTTTCCGCGAGTCGACAAAATTTTTCCACGGGAGACTTTCCTCTTTTTTTCCTTTGCTCTATTCATTCGTTAGAGAAACTTGCGGCACGATGAAACGGTGGACTTTCGCCTCGCAACCTGAAACATCGCGCTTTGCGTTTCAGGCGGAAAAGCTATGAAAATTGCGTAGGCGTTAAAGAAGAAAAGAAATAAAAAAGAGGAAACAACCGAGCAAATAGTTGCAATAAGAACAATTAACTTTTTAACGTCGGTTTTCAAACAAACGTGAGATTTTCTTCACGCCGAATATAGATTTTAATTTTCTATAATTCTCGATTTTATAATATTCTGACTAAAGTTTAATTACGTGAAAGTTAATATATGCATTTTGATGAATTTTCACCTAATTAATTAACTGCAGTTATACATCATAATTCAGAGCGAGCGATTTTTATCGCGCGGCAGTCGTTGACCGTTTGATGATATGTTTTGGTTTTTAAATGGACAGTGACGTAGGAGATCATGAGAGAGAGCATGCTGTGAAATAGCGCGTGAATATACCACGTTATTTCGATGCAAATGTTTGCCGACATATTTTACTTGCCCGAATGGATGTTTACGAATTGGAAAATTAAAAGGTACTTGTCTATGTGTATATATACATTATTGAAATAATACGTACAAAGAGCACATATTGTTAACCTAATTATGAATTCATGAAAAACATATTTGCGAAATGTAAAAAACGTTATAGCAAACTTATCAAAATATATTCCAACTAAATAGAATTATTTATTTAAAAGTATATTTCTCTTTATTTCTCATTCTCTCCATTTTTTCTGTATTAATTTTTTTCATAAAAAGGAAAAACTTTTTGACATTGTTAATAATTAACTTTAATAATCGTTTTTTAAATAAAAATCAGACAGAATCTGCTGAAATTTCAGTAGTAAAGGTACGTAAAGAAATGTGCCGAGATTTGCGCCGGAATTTCAGTGGTATAATCTATCTTAACTGCGCCAGCTAAGAGCACTTCTCCCGTAAGTGCAGTTCACGTGACCGTGCAATTGTACAAAGAGAAAAAGGA